GAGGCCTTTGGTCAATCATGGCAGGAAAAGTGTCCCCCGGATGTTCAGTGCCACACAGAAGAATCGTAAAAGGATTCACAAGCCCAGTCCCAGCGGATCTTCGTGCATGCCCTGGTGACATTTAAATTAGATTACCGCAATGCACTCTACGTGGGGCTGCCCCTGAAAAGTTTCAGAAACTTCAACTGGTACAGGATGCTGCAGCCAGGATGTTGACTGGAGTGGGTTGCCAGGACCATCTCACTCTCGTTTTTGGCCCGTCTACACTGGCTCCCGATTTGTTTCTGGTCCCAGTTACTGACCTTTGGAGACCTGCGTGGTTTGGGACTAACAGACCTTAAGGCCTGCCTACTCCCATACAAAACTATCTGACTGCTAAATTCATGGGGGGCTGCTGTGGCTCAGAGGTTAAGACGCTGAGCACCTAGCAGCTCAAAAGCAAGAAATTACAAGTAAATAGGTCCCACTTCGGTGGGAAGGTAACAGCATTCTGTGTGCCTCAGCGTTTAGTCATGCTGGCCACATGACCACGGAAACGTCTTCGGATAGCACTGGCTCTTCGGCTTGGAAATGGAGATGAGCACTGCCCCCTAGAGTTGGATTCGACTAGCTTTTGAGCAAGAGAAACCTTTACCTTTTCTGGGGCAACTGAAGCACTGTATTCCTGGTGATTCGGGGGGACAACAGTGGGAGGGCTTCTAGTGTCGTGGCCCCACTGCTGGACCTCCTGATGGCACCTGGTATTTTTGGCCACTGTGTGACAGAGTGTTGGACTGGATGGACCATTCCAACATTGGCTTCTCTTATGTTCTCATGTTGTTATCTTATGATGTTCCACTTTGGCTGACCCCACCTTCTGAGGTTAGGTGGGTGGCAACTCGTGACAGGGCCTTCTTGGTTGTGGAGCCAACACTGTTGAACTCCCTCCCCAGGAATATTCATCTGTCTCCTTCCATCACTCTCTTCCATCAGCAGGCAAAGACTTTCTTCTGTTCTGTCTGGCATTCCCTCCTCTTTCCTATCGTATGTCTGAATTTCGCTGTCCCTGTGTTTTTACATGTGTACTTTAGGTGTGCATTTAATTGGCTTTATGATGTTTTATAATCTTCTGCTTTTAATGGTTAGCTGCTTTGGTGGCTCTGATTGGGCAGAGAGGTGGGATATCATTTTTGTAAATAAATAAATGTAAAGGTCACTGGTATAGTTTATGCTGTCGAAGGCCGATCTGATCGTGCTTATTTTTTTCCTCCTTTCCTGTATACCTTCCTATGCATCAGAATACCCTCAGGACTGGTGGATGTTTTCCAACACCAGCAAGATGTGGGGCTCAGCCCAGATGAGATGCAATTAAGGCCTGACTATCATCTTCTCTTCCTCTCAGAACCAGAGCTTTTTTTTCCTGAGGGAATGCGTCGAAACAGAGTTCTGGCACCTCTTCGACAAAATAATTTTTAAAAAATGTTTAAAAGTTCATGAGTTTTCAGTATACAGATTGAAAACTTCCTTTCCCTCTTGAGAGCTCTGGCACCTCTTTTTCCAGACACACACACACACAAAAAAAGCCCTGCTCAAAACAGGCCGGTATCTCTGCAACGCCCAGAGGCTGTTAACACCACAAATTACGTTTGTAATCCACTCTTCATACCCATGAAATCCACCTGTGATCTCAACTTCGTAAGATGAGGTGCATGGCAACTCAGCTGACAGGTGGCTACAAAGTTCACCTCATTCACATTTTTACACAGAGAAAATTTACCACAGAACAAATTTAGTCAGTCACAGAAAAGGAGTTACCTTGGGGACCTGGTTGTCCAGGCACACCTGGGAATCCTTTTTCTCCTATCAAACCAGGCAGCCCTTGATCCCCTTTTGGTCCAGGAAAGCCATCTCGTCCTTTTGGGCCAGGAAACCCTTTCTGACCCGGGAGGCCTACTCCGGCGTCACCCTTGAAACAGGAATAAAAATTCATTGGTGATAATGGCAAAAACCAAAAAAAAAGGACTGACCATCATAACATCAGATAAAGGTTTCCAAAGCTACATCCAGTTTCATCCTAACAAAATGTGAAGCTCAATTAGGCTAAAAAATTTAAAACTGGATACCACATGCAAGCTCCCCACATCCCCGGTCGATCATTCACTAAGCTGCTATGATGTTATGGAATGATCGCAAACATTCTAGCTTTGAGGGGATGAAGGTGTGAGCAACAGAATGCTGGCAAATTCTGTAAGTTCCACTTGGGTGGAATAAAATTCCACATGGATCCTAGGAAGAGGAGGAGCTACTTGAAGTCCACAGGAACCCCCCCCCGGGGGGGTGGGGGAGACAGAAAGAGAGTCGGAAAAAGAGTAGAAAGCATAGAAATGAGGTAGAATTGCTGAAGGGGAAAAGATGGAACAGGGCAACAGCATGATACGAAGTGACCTGAGGTAATTATGCACCAAGCAAAGAGAGGAAAGGACTAAGTGGAGAAAGAACCATGAGGAGAAACTTCATACAAGTCAGTGACCAGAAATAGCTAAGGGGACAGGAAAGCCTAGAATGTGGAGGTGGTAGGAACTGAATGTCATGTACTGTTTTGAACTAAAAACCTAAAGATCTCTAATTTTAGGTACTTATTTAAAAACAAATTTGATCTTGTCTATTGGCTATATGGCTCCCAAACGATACATGTCTCATTCTCCATTTTACCTTGGTTGAAGGATATTCAGTTTCTGTTTTAATGTTTAAGGTATCCTCTGTCCCACCCACTCCTCTGTGAAGGCCCACGTGGTCATACCACCCAGTCCCACCTATCCACTAATGCTAGGAGGGCACAGAGATGTTGCCCGGTGGGATTTCCCACAATATGAGGAACACCTTGAAGACAAGAGCAGACAAACACCAGAAAACAAAGTCACCAGCCTCTCTGGCCAGGCAGGGGTGGTGAGTATCTAAGTGGCCGTTATAGCCAGCACCACCGACGGCCCTTCTCCCAAGTTAACCCAAGCAGCCGGCACTTACTTTGGGGCCTTGCGACCCTGCTGCGCCAGGTAACCCGCTTGGACCAATATCGCCTTTCTCCCCAGCTGGACCAGGTGAGCCGGGCTGCCCTGGGAAACCTACAAGGCCAAATACACAACACTGTTAATAGATGGTGCTAAATGCCCAAAGTTACCCCCAAAGACAAAATACATTTTAGGGATTGCCTTCAAAACCATAGGTTTGCCCAAAAACTAGAGTGTCATTCCCCCAATGCGATGACATCACTTCTGGGTGACGTCATCGTGACAGAGAAGTCGCAGGGTGACGTTCCTGTTCGGGGGGCGGGGCTTCCCTGCCGACCAGTTGGTCGGTGGCAGGGTGGAGCCCCAGAAATCAGGGGGACCCCCACCCGGACCAGGGGGGAGTCTGTCCACTTTAGCTCATCGATGACTGCCCCCGTACCACCGCTGGTTGAGATCGTGAGTTGCAGCAAATGTGGACCACGTGAGACAGTCATCGCCTCTCGAGATGGTCACAAGTGGAAAGTTAAGTTTGCTCAGCACTGTGACAACTGTACCTGGAACGGCAAGCAAAATGGCAGCCTTTCTTCTTTGTGAATAATTCCTGTGGCACAGACTGAGTGGTGCTAACCTCCCGGTGGGGACTGGGGCTCTCCCAGAAGGACAGCTAATCTCCAGGTTAGAGAGATCAAGTCCCCTGGAGAAAATGGCTGCTCTGGAGGGTATACTCTGTGACGTTATACCCTGCTGACATTATACGCCCCTCCCCATGCTCCACCCCCAAGTCTCCAGGAATTTCCTAACCCTGAGTTGGCAACTCTACACAGGCTCAAAGCTAGGGTTGCCAAGTGTTACCTTTAGCTGGAGCGGGGGACTCCCGGCTGTTTCCCGGAGCACGCGCGCGCCACAACCACGTCACCCGGAAGTGACGTGATCACATTGGGCACGCTGGGGGCGGGGCCACGACCATCGGAGGGAAAACCATAGAGTTGTCCCTCGGATGACCGTGGCTCCGCCCCCAGCGTGCCCGGCATGGTCACGTCACTTCCGGGTGACGTGGACGTCATGTACTTTGGGGGGTGGGGTTCCCCCTGGGGCCCGATTCCCCGGCAGTGGGGAACGGGCCTCTGGGGCCGGGGTTTCTCCACCCCCTGGGGGGACTTGGAAAGCCTACTCAAAGTGGACATCTTCAGGGGCTCTGTAAAGGGAGACAGAAGCCCTGTGAGTACTGAGGAGGAGGGTCTCCTGTTCTACAATACGCTTCCATTTGCTTTGAAAGATTTCTTAAACTATCCTCCTGTCCCGGTTCCCCGGTCCCAGGACGGCCCCTCCCACCCCCGGAGACGCTCCCACACCCCAGCTCACCCTTTGAGCTGCAGAAGAGCTGGGGAAAGCCGCCGCCGGGCCCCCCGCAGAGAATGCAGCACGACGGAGCGAAGCCCGAAGACCCAGACCAGAGGCTCTCCGTCGGCAGGCCGAGGCCCGTCCGAAGAGCACAGCGATGGCCCTCCCAGGAGCGACACAGCTCCGTCCCCACCGAACCGAGCCAGAGATGGGCCGTGGCAGGCGCTGGTGGCGCGGCCCCTGGCCGAGAGGACTGCTGCTAGCTCACCACAGACCACACCCCGCACGCTCAAGGAGCGTCCGGGCATATAAACAGGGGCGGGGCCGAACGAGGAGGGGGAAGGTGGGGAGGATGGGCGGCGCTGGCAGAGGACGGTGGGAATAAAAGAAGGGCTCATGGAGAGGACCGGGGAGGAACAGCGTGGGAAGGAGAGTGCATGAGAGGACTAGAGAGACGCTAGTGAACGATCTCCAGCTCACTAGGCAGAGGGACTAAAGGGGTGTGCCAATAACCCCGTTCCCTGCTCATCTGAGGTCCTGTCAAGGCTCTCTTTGACATCCCAACCCCTCCTCCAGCGCCGCCCAGCTAGACACCACGGCAATGGGTGGCCCCCCCCCCAGACCTCAGGAGAGGCGTGTGACACCTCCTCACAGAGAAACTCCCTCCAAATAGTCAGTTACTTTTCATGGCATACCTGGAGGTCCTGGAGCACCGGGAAAGCCTATTCCTTGTGGGCCTCTTACTCCTTTTTCACCTGGCAGGCCAGGTCTTCCGGGGATCCCTGCATCTCCTTTGTCACCTGTGCAGTTCAAAGAGAGCGGGCCACGTTTACTTTTTGATGCGAGCGGAGACTTGTTGGGTGGGGTGGGAGAGACAAGGAGCAGTCCTGGAACCGCCTTGCAAGAAAATGAGACGAGGTACCTTGGACGCCTGGCAGACCAGGAGGCCCAGGAACACCGGCTGTCCCCGGAGCACCGTGCAAGAAAACGGCCTGCCCATTTTCACCTTTGGGCCCTGGAAAGGCAAGACAGAGATGCAGCAGCTGAACAGGCGTATATTCCCACCCATCTGTATTTCAGAGCAAACCCTTATTCTCTTCCGAGGCTTTCTTCTCCTCCATCTTCCAGAAGACACAGGAGTCGGCCTCTGTATTCCACAAGTGGAGAATCCAACTGAACAGATGGAGCGTCAGAATCTCAGAGGTTGGTTTTTCAGATTCCGAAGCCCCTCTCTGATGGGGCTGCTGTTGTGATTGAGGAAGATGTACTGGAGGAGGGCAGGGGGGATATTTGCATTTTTCCTTTCATGCCCTCCCCTGATTTACCCCCGTTAAGGCACACAGTTGCAGTTAACTTTGCAATATGCCCTGGACCTAAAACCATCTCTTGGGGCTGCACAATTTAGATAGAGGAAACTCCATGGGAAGAAAGAGTTAAATCCCCCCTTCCCTCCCTCTGCTTCCCTAATGAAATAAACATTAAAAAAAAAACCCTTTAAAAAGAAAACAAGAAAACTCAGTACAGCCCGAACTCAGACCTACCAAGCCATGTTTAGTTGTAGCTAGGGCTTCTTAATCCAGCTAAGAATAAGATTTTTAAAATTTTCCTCGTTTTCATTCGCTCTCAGTATTATTTGTGGATTATTAAATCCCATATCAGCATTCATTAGAAAAGGCAAATACACGAAAAACACCTCCCCCCGCCCAAGACTGGTTTTAGAACAGCAACCAGTGGTCCTACAAACCGGGGGTCTTACTAACTTTGTGGGCTGTGTCTGGATCTACCAGGAGGTCTTTTCATCAGACACGTGTTGTGAGTTCTGTACTGTGAACTCAGTTCCCAGGCACGTGGGGGTCTGATTTGGATTGTGACCATGGCACACAGGAACAGGGTGCTTAATTTATACCCCGCCCATCCTGCGAACAGGCTCAGGGCGGCTTCTCTTGTGCGGTTTCCCTGATCTGAAACAGCCCTGGTGGCTGCCACAAGACTCTAAGACGGAGCCACGTAGGCTACACTCGGGTTTCCCAACAGTGCCTCCCAAGGCAGTTTCAGGCCAGGTAAACGGCGCGTGAAAATGGTGCCCTATGTGCCTGAAAATTGGCTTCCCAGCAAGCAACTTGCAGAGTATACCAACAGTGCCTCCCAAGGCAGTTTCAGGCTAGGTAAACGGCACGTGAAAATGGTGCCCCATGTGCCTGAAAATTGGCTTCCCAGCAGGCAACTTGCAGAGTATGTCTGACAGAAAATCTTCATGTGGACATGCCATGAGGACTCTGCACCCTGTATGTACGTACCCTAAGAATATGTTCTAGGGTGTGGCCTTGAGTGTAAAGTTTTTTAAAAACCCCAGCATCAACACCCAAAGACCTCTCCCACTATGCCAATCAAAACAAAAGCCGTGAAACCAAGGCTTTCTACCAGTTAGGGTTGCCAGGTCCCTGGTCCAGGTGGGGGTTCCCCCGCTTTTGCGGGGTCCTTTCTGTCACTGGCCACCTGGTCGGTGGGGGGAAACCACACTCATAAATGCCTCCGAACGTGATGTAATGACCTCACCTGGAAGTGACGTCATCACATTGCTGACGTTGGGGAGTGATGCTCTAAAACTCCATGGTGAAATTGGGCTCAAACCATAGAGTTTTGGCCCAAAAACTAGAGTGCCACCACCTGACATTGGCAACGTGATGACATCATTTCCAGGTGATTTCATCGTGATGTGCGCACTTTGTGTGCATGTCAGAAGATCCCAGACCCTGGAGCCCTATTACCAGCCTTTCAGAGTACTGTCTGCAGGACTGTTTTGCTTGCAAACGAAACGGGGGACTGCTGTAAGAAGACACAATACTGAAAAGGAAATATCTATGCAAGGGACTAAGAAGCTTCTTACAGCATCACACCCGAACTCTGTCACCTGCCGACAGACAGGCCCGTAGTTAGATTTTTTTTTTCCGGGGAGGGAGTGTTAAATTTTTACAGGGACTTAAGGGAGCACATGCCTTTAAAAATTGTAAAAAGAATGATTTTAAAAGCATTTTGAGGACAAATTCCTGTGGGGCTGTGCCTTTAAGTAAGGGAGTGGAGCCCCGAATAGCCCCTCTGTAGCGACGGGCCTGGCCAGAAACACATTCTGTTGGAGGTGATCCACCTGAATCTCCCCTTACATCAACAGCCCCCTCCCCAAAGGGGTACATCTCTTCCTGACACAGCAGTCTAAGTTGAATACTCTCCTTAATTTCATCATGAACAAATCAGGGTGGGTGACAAACTAGAGTCGCTAAGCACTTTACGGTATTCCCAGACCACAGAGGCGACTTCTGGCTCTCCTACCTCCTCCTGGCAGGAAGTGAAAGATGGGCCTTTTCCTTTTATTAAAGAGCCAAAGTGTGGAACAGGGATATTTGTCCCTGTCACCATTCCCTTGTACCAACAGGGCCTGGCTCCCCAACAACAGTGCAAGCTTTTCATATCCCAAAACAATGCTGCCTGGAATTGTCTCTGTTCAGAGACTTTTACTCTTAAATATCAAGAATATTTCATCACAGGCTCCCTTTTAGTCACCGACACAGATCAGATGGGGAGAAAAACAAGGCCTATTTGCTTTCTACCCCACTTGCTTCCTTGTTCCTGACACTACAGTATTTTGACATCTTATGCTGTCTGAGTCTTATGAAAATCACATGTACATACGGTGGATAGATCCCTGGCAGGGGCAGGGAATTTCCTGCCCCCACCTCTTGAGCAGCAGGAAGAGAGAAAAAAAATTAAATCGCCATCAGGCTGACGGTGTGACATCACTTCAGGGGAAAACCTTCCAGTGACATCACACCTCTCTAGGAATTGATTGAAACTCTATGGTTTTACCCATTTCCACAGCCCTCTGGTTTCCTGCTGGTTGCTAGGCTGAGCCTGGCGATCCTACATGTACATAATTGCCGACTGTACACTAATCCTACTGCTACCCCATGAGGAAACTTCCATTGGTATGCTGGTTTTCCATTGCAAAAATGGCTGTTGGGGTGTACAGTAGTAGATTCAGGTGGGGTAGCCATGTTGGTCTGAAGCAACAGAACAAAGTTAGAATCTAGTGGCACCTTTAAGACCAACAAAGTTTAATTCTGGGCATAAGCGTTCGTGTGCCTGCACACTTCTTCAGATACATTGAAACAGACTTCCTCAAGCTTTACATACAGGTAGAGAGAGGGTGGGGGGTGTATAGTAAACATTTTAAAAACGATATAAATACCGTTAAAAAGTCTTACCTGGAAGCCCTGAAGAGCCGGGGAACCCTGAAATACCCTTTTCCCCTTTACTACCAGGTTGCCCAGGTTGCCCTGTTCCGGGGCTACCAGGAAAGCCCCTGTCTCCACGGGGTCCTGGAAATCCACTTGTTCCTGGAGGGCCACGGTCGCCTTTTAAGCCAATTGTTCCCTGATTGTAAGGAGACGGAAGAAAACAATATCACTCTCCTCTACATTAAAATTTCATGTGGCCTTCACGCTATACAGATCAAATATGACTCTCCTCTACATTAAAATTTCATGTGGCCTTCACGCTATACAGATCAATTCAGGGCTTTTTTTGTAGGCTTTTTTTGTAGAAAAAGCCCAGCAGGAACTCATTAGCATAGCAGGCCACACCCAACAGCTGAAACTCATTAGCATATTAGGCCATACCCTGTCACCACAGCTCATTAGCATATTAGGCCGCAGCCCCGTGTTGCCAGAAGTGTGGTCATCCAGCCACACCCACCTTTTGCTTCTTATTCTGTTTACCTTGTTTGTTGTCAAAACCCAGGGCCTTTTTTTGTAGCAGGGACTCCTTTGCATGTTAGGCCACACACCCCTAATGTAGCCAATCCTAATGAGTTTCTGCTGTTGGGTGTGGCCTATTATGCTAATGAGTTCCTGCTGGGCGTGGCCAACTCAGGAGCCAGCCGGAACTCTGTTCCTCTGCGTTCCTGCCCAAAAATAGCCCTGCAGATCTCTCCCTTATTATAAAAGAGTAGTGGGTGCCAGAATTCTAAAATTGGCCCCTTTAGTGTTAGGCCGAAAAAACTGCCACTCGGAAGATTACCATATATAAAGTGCTCCCAAAGTTTGTTTTGCCAACATTGGAGAGTAGGTTGATTTTTGTTCTTCCAATACTGGGCTATAGTTATGCGTAGCCAATTCTAATGAGTTCCTGCTGTTGGGTGTGGCCTGTTATGTTAATGAGTTCCTGCTGGGTGTGGCCAACTCGGGAGCCAGCCGGAACTCCGTTCCTGTGCGTTCCTGCCCAAAAATAGCCCTGCAGATCATTTAATATTCTTCCATTAGTTCAACTTTGACAGTGGATATTGCTGCCCCTCCTTCAGGATGGGAGGACTCAGCACACTAAATAAGCTACAAAGATGGGTGGTCCCAGCAACATCAGGCTTGTGGTCGCACGCGCCAGTTGAAGCACAGGGGAAGGGAGGCTATTTCCTCCAGAGGAATTTGACATGCAGCTGAGAGATCATACAGTCCTTTCAAGCTGTGGGCGTAGCCCCTCACCGTGTGATCAGACACAACTGTGGGTGAGTCGTGTTGGGGTTTTTCTTTGCCATTTGTTTTCCTTGCGCATAAACGAGCAATCGAGGAATCGCACCTCTGCCCTGAGGGCCCCTTATGGAGTATGTGATGATGCGTATACTGCAAACGGGGGCGGGGGGAACGGCACGGAGTCGGGGTGGCCTGATCAGACCATTCCGAGAGCATGAGAGCACGCTTGAGCGATCAGACGGGAAAGTCAGCCCATGGCCCATCTTACCCGGATAACACCGGACTTTCCCCGGTGACTTTTAACTCCGCTTCTGTGTCGGAGCCACACGGGTTGCCAACAACTGTGGGACGCTTCCCAGGTGTCGCTATGTGATCGCTCCCTTTAGATCTGTCAGGCATTCACACCTATGTCGGATCCAGAGGAGCGTGTGATCGCAGCCACAGACTCCTATTTGGGTAACATTTGGGAGCAACTTCCTGAATGCATGTAAATTCTATTTCTGCATGACGGTAATTTAAAACCGCTTGCTGTTCACACTTTTCAGTGGCTGTCCCCTCAGCACGGGGGTTCCCAGACCCTTTTAAGCCTGTGGACACATTTTGAATTCTGACACAGTGTGGTGGGCGCAGCCACCAAATGGCTGCTGTGGGAGGCGGAGCCAGCCATAAAATGGCTGCCACAGCTTACCATCAGTCACACAGTGAAGATTTTTGTGCTGTGGCTTTGCGACATTTTTTTAAAAATGGCATAGGTGATCAAATCTCCAGTGGCATCAGAAACCTTGATGGCCCAGGTGGCCCTATCCATTTTTCACAAACGCTTGGCGTGTGCCCGGAAAGTTGTCCGCGGGCATAATGGTGCTCATGGGTACCACGTTAGAGATGCCCGTCTAAGCACGATGCAAGAACCAGGAACAGTAACCGTTTCTGCACACAGACATATTTGGAGCATTTGCATACATAAAGTCACACTGGAAACCCAGCCTTGACTCTTCCAGGGCAGACAAAAAAGACAGGGACTATGCTTTCTTCCAGGCAAAGAGTGAAAGATGCCTGGCCCTTAATTCTGAAGGGAAAAGAACAACAGCAAGAGCAGGGACAGGTTTTCCACTGAACTGTGAAACTGTGGCCTCTGGTGGTGACGGAGATGTTCTGCAGCTACTGGAGGTCGCAAACTGGGTGAAAGTTAAAATGTGCAGGGGGGGGGAACCTGAACCTTACAAGAAACTCCAGGTTAGTGAAAAGGAGGGCCAATATTAAAACCTTTCCACACTGCTTTTTACTTGTGAATACTGTGGCAACACAATCAAAGAAGGAAATTTTTGGACCACAAGTTTATTTTATAATCACTGGGCTAGTGATTGCACTTTAAAGGGCTTATGTGCATATTTACCCTGTGCCTGGTGATTTTACTTTTGAACAATTTATTTAATGGTCCTGATTGAATCTGTACTTTGTATATATGTCTGATTGTGTTTATGTGATATAATTATTAACCATCTTGCCACATATGTATGACCTCTGAGGAAGGCCTATTTGGCCGAAACGCGTAAGAACTTTGACATCCCTTGATATTTGTATATTTTATATGTATTGGTTGTAAATGGGCCTCTATATATGTTTTAAAATTTGTGATTATTAATAAATACATGTACCTTTTTTATTTTTTATGGAAAGGTTTTAATATTGGCCCTCCTTTTCACTAACCTTTGTTTGGTTCTGAAAGTTAAAATGTGACATCAGGGCTACTGTGCACACCTTGCCAAATGGTGCCTCTCTGCACCAGTACAAAGAACTTAAAAACACAATGTTGCACCCCCAAATTAAAAACCACTTTCAAGGAGGGAACACGTTTTCTTCCAGTGTACTTATTGTTTATTTTGCCTTTCTGTATTAGCCCTCCAGCGCACAGGGAGAATGGGAAAAAAAACACCCGGCATTTAAAAATTCTTCCCTGGGAAAAAACAAACCAACAGCCACAGTACTTTTTTTTTAAAAAAATTGTCTTTCTGAATCAATGTTTCAGCGCATAGTTCAAAAAAACCCTTATAAGAAAATATTTTCCTTCCTTTGACTCCTCCCCCTTTCCTGTCTGACCCCGCAACTTACAGTACAGACTTCCCTGGAAAACAAAATCAGCCACTGTATTTTTAAAAATGTTGTCTTTCTGCATCAATGCTTCAGTGCAGAGTTTTTTTAAGACACAAGAGGATCTCATTGCCTCATATGAAAATATTTTTCATCCTTCAGATCCCTTCCCCTCCCCACAACAGACACCCTGTGAGGTAGGTGGGGCTGAGAGAGCTCTTTTAAGAACTGCTCACAAGAGAACAGCTCTGAGAGAACTTGTGACTGACCCAAGGTCACACCAGCAGCTGCATGTGGAGGAGTGGGGAAATCAAACTTGGTTCTCCCAGATTAGAGTCTGCGCTCCTGACCATTACACCAAACCAGTGTCGTAGAAACCTACAGGCATAAGAGTTAAGTGCCAAAACGGTATCAGTTTTAGTATGGATATTCCATAATTGCCAAGATGACATGCATTCTGGGTGAACTCGTTCCACTTTTCCCAATGATTCTGAGAACACGCCATGTAAGCATGTAAGGAAGAGGATGAATACGTTTGCTTCACTGGGCACAATAACAATCTATAACTAATAAACTATAAAGAGTGAAGAACGAACATCAACAGATGTGACATACCGAAGCACCTTTAGGACCTGGAATACCCGGCACACCATCCCGCCCGGGCCGTCCATCTTGGCCAGGAGTGCCTGGAGACCCAGGAAAACCAGGGCTTCCTTTGTCACCCTTTAAATCAGAGTCAAAGAAAACATCTCCGGGTTCTCCTTTAGCTCCAGGGCTTCCAGTTAATCCAGGTGTACCAGGAGGACCCTGAAATTACATTCAGTTATAGTGTCATTAAACGAAACATTAAAGTATAACCAAGTAATATTGCTAAAGCTGCAATTCTGAGCACGCTAACTGGGAACATAAGAACATAAGAGATGCCAATGTTGGATCAGGCCAAAGGCCCATCCAGTCCAACACTCTGTGTCACACAGTGGCCAGAAATACCAGGTGCCATCAGGAGGTCCACCAGTGGGGCCAGGACATTAGAAGCCCTCCCACTGTTGACCCCCCCCCAAGCACCAAGATGACAGAGCATCACTTGCCCCAGAGCCCCTATCTATACCTTGTGGCTAATAGCCACTGATGGACCTCTGCTCCATATGCTTATCTAATTCCCTTTTGAAGCCGTCCATGCTTGTAGCCGTCACCACTTCCTGTGGCAGTGAATTCCAAGTGTTAATCACTCTTTGGGTGAAGAAGTACTTCCTTTTATCCGTTCCGTGGGAAGTAAATCCCACGGAATTTACCAGTGTCTTCGAAACCTGCAGCCATATGAGTCAAGTGCCAAAACAGTTTCCCTTTTTTAGCATGGGTATTCCATAATTGCCGAGGTGACGTGCATTCTGGGTGAACTCGTCCCACTCTTCCCAACGATTCTGAGAACACGGCATGTAAGCATGTGGCACACTGTTCTGTTTCTTTTGCCACATGTGAATGCTCCCTGCTCTTATGTTGTGCATTCCCACGTTTTATCCCAAAGGAGAGACAACCAATGTGCCTAGCTTGTTGCAGGGCAATAACGTTGCTGAAATGACGCCTCTGTGGAAAAAATAAGGACTTTTGCAAAAGATCCGTGTCGTTTCCAGCATGGTCATCCTCGCCTGGTGGAATACACCTTGAATGTGCAGTATCCTCATGCTGGACTGAGAAAATAACCCACGGTCTGAAAATAACCCACGGTCTGTTGCAAGGAGCCCCTCCCGCCCCGCTCCACTTGCCGCTTGGAAGTGGGGCCCATTTCTAACTGAGCGTGGACATGTACCTGGATAGAGAACGCACCTGAGAGCGTTGCCGCTTCCATCCCCAAATAACAAAACATGGCCTCCTCTGCATTCACCATGACAGAGCCCTGTTCTTACAATTGCTTCCACCTACACTGGCTTCCAGTTCGCTTCCGGACTCAATTCAAGATGCTGGTATTCAGGGATTTTTTTCTGGGGGAATGTGCCAGAACAGAGTTCCGGAACCTCTTCAACAAAACCCTTCTTTAAAATGTTTAAAAGTTCATGCATTTTCAGTATACAGACTGAGAACTTTATTTCCCTCTTGAGAGTTCCAGGCCAGTGTTCCCTCTAAGCTGCATTAGTGTGAGCCAGCTCGCAGTTAAGAAGAAGAAGAGGAGGTGGAGGAGGAGGAGATTGGATTTATACCCCACCCTTCACTTGGAGTCTCAGAGCGTTTTACAATCTCCTTTCCCTTCCCCTCCCCACAACAGACACCCTCTGATGTAGGTGGGGCTGAGAGAGCTATGACAGAAACTGCTCTTTCAAGTTTCAAGAACAGCTGTGCCGAAGCTACGGCTTGCCCAAGGCCATCCAGCAGGTGCAAGTGGAGGAGTGGGGAATCAAACCTGGTTCTTCCAGATTAGAGTACATGCTCCTAAACACTACACCAAACTGGCTCTCCACATTTTTGTCTTAACTCAGGAAAGATGGCTCCAGAGCAAACTAATTTTTGCTCACAGGACTCCACAGCTTAGAGGGAGCATTGGTTTCGGCACCTCTTTTTTCTTTTTTTTTTAAGCGCCCTGCTGATATTGAAGAAGAAGAAGAAGAAGAAGAGATTGGATTTATACCCCACCCTTCACTACCCTTCACTCAGAGTCTCAGAGCGGCTTACAAACTCCTTTCCCTTCCCCTCCCCACAACAGACACCCTGTGAGGTAGGTGGGGCTGAGAGAGCTCTGACAGAAACGGCCCTTTTTCAAGAACAGCTCTTATCAGAGCTATGGCTTGCCCAAGGCCATCCAGCCAGGTGCAAGTGGAGGAGTGGGGAATCAAACCCGGTTCTCCCAGATTAGAGTCCGCGCACTTAACCACTACACCAAACTGGCTATTGACCTCTAAAGCCCTGTCTGGTCTGGAACCAACATACCTTAAAGACTGCCTCCTCCCATACGAGCCTGCCTGCTCACTCCAGTCATCCTTGGAGGCCCTGCTTTGGTTGTCCTCGCTATCTGAGGCTAGATGGGTGGTGACCCCCCAAAAAGACCTTCTCCGTTGTGGCACCAGAACTTTGGCCCTCCCTCCCCAGGGAGATTCTTCGGCCTCCCGCTATCGGTGTCTTTTGCCATCAGGTGAAGACCTTTTTATTCTGTCTGTCATATCCTCAATAAGGAGGGTTTTGGCCCTCCTTCTAGTGCTGTCTGTTTACATGTTTCCAGGGCTTTTTTCCCCTGGGGGAACGTGCCTGAACAGAGTTCCGGAACCTCTTCGACAAAATTCTTTTTAAAATGTTTCGAAGTTCATGACTTTTCAGGTATACAGACCGAAAACTTCATTTCCCTCTTGAGAGTTCTGGCACCTCTTGTCCCAGGAAAAAAAGCCCTGCATGTTTTTAATTCAACTTCACAAGTTTAACTCTGTTTTCAATCGTCTAAATGTTTTAATACCCGCTGTCCTGTGGACCCTGACTCTATTTGAACATATAAAGAAAGGAGGAGCCTGAGGGTTCGGACCATTCACCGAGACAGAATATCAGAGCTGATGGGGTACACTGTGGCATTGTCAGCAAGCTGCCATAGAAATCTGTGTATAGTTAACCCCCCCCCCGATCTCTCCGTTGGCCTCTCCGTTGGCATCTGCGCATGCCTAATGTATTCAATGTTCCCTCTAAGTTGTAGAGTCCTGTGAGCAAAAATTCTACTTTGTGAGCTACCGGCATTAAAGTTGTGAGCAGGTGATTTGGCTACTGCATAAATTAGTGTGTTCTGGAGCCATCCTTCCTGAGCTGAGACAAAAATGTGTGAGCCGGAGGCTAAAAAACTGTGAGCTAGCTCACACTAACTCAGCTTAGAGGGAACACTGTTCTGCACTGTATGTCTGCTTGTCTCAGTTGTCTCATGCATTCCTTTCTATGAACGCTAGCGTACGCTTATCTACAAGGCCACAGGTGCGGAGAAGAGGAGGCTCAGCTTAGTCTATATTAATGAATTAGAGCGTGTGAAGCGCTAACTGTTTATCTTTATAGAAACCGTGGCTTCTCAGACTCTAGGCGCGAATCTGAGAGTCTAACCGCGTAAGCGGGAACCAAGTCCATTGGTTATTGTAGATTTTGAATGTGCTTCATTATCCCCTGTCCCGCCTGTCTCAGGTATTCTAAACCGTGAACTTGTTCCTGTTCTATCATGGCTTCAATAAAATACTACTTTGCTTAAACGTGTATTGGACTGATAGCTGTGGGATCGGACAGGCATGAAAGCATTGCAGGCGGCAGAGAACTAAGATTCAGCTGGTGAGGCCTTTGGGGCCCTTCACTTACCGTCACTCCAGGTTTTTTTCGTGCCCAGGATTGCCCCTGTCCCCTTTGGCACCCGGGGGGCCTGGAACGCCTTTCAAAGAAGGAAGGGGGGGGAGAGGAAAAAATTCATTCAGCTGACTAAGTGTGAACCGCTGACAATAAAGACTCTCTTTAGTGTTTGCTCTCCAGACTCCGCTCACAGGGGACGTGCAAAATATTTGCAGGAGCAATCAAAGTAAACCGCAGGGCAGGAACAGTCAGAAGCATCTAACAGCCTAACCCCGAACTCCTCTTTTAGCAACATATCCATGCTAGCCAGAATACGGTGCTAAAAAGGGACGACACAGAAGGCTCAGACCAAGTTCCTCCGAGGTCACAGCACCGAGGCAGGGGAAGGGTAGGCTTAGTGGGCAGGGCTGGTTTCAGGTTTTTTGGGGGGCCCCCGTGTTGTGCTGTTAATATCAGCTGTCAGATCATCATGATCTAACTGTCAGCAGTGAGACTGCTGGAAACCTGTACTGGCCGGTTGAGACCAGATTGTGGTATGATGCATGTAACAATGACTCAGCTGTTAGCTGATTGGTTGCAGTTATGTATATAAGTGGACAAGTGCTGTACCTAATACTTCTTCTCTAAATGATGGTTACTGGCAGAGCATTTTGTCCGAGGATTGTATATTTTGTGAATAAAGCTGTAAATAGTTCACCACTGGACTGTCTTGTGTGGTGCTATACGGAGTTGCTGTGTGCTGGAGTGTGGCTGGTGAGTTGGTGTGGCTGCATTAGTCCTGGTGGCTGATACCTTCTACTGGCACTCAGGCTGTCTGAAGCGCACCACGCAACACCCCGGACAGAGAGTGCTCAGGGATTCCCTTCCTAGTGCCACCCCCTGGGATTCCACCTCTTCCCGTGCACCTGTGCTCATCTGCCTTTGTGGTCCTCTGTCATTGCCCAACTGTGTGTCCTGCCCCTGTGAGCCCTCCTGGAGACATGCATCACCTGCACCTAGAAAGCCCTATGCGACATCTAGAAAGCCCTATGCGGCCTGGGACCATTATACTTGCGGGACCGCATCTCCCCCTATGAGCCCCAGAGATCTTCCGGTCGGCACCTCCTGGTGATCCCCGGCCCGAGGGACGTCCGCTTAGCCTCAACCAGGGCGAGGGCTTTTTCGGCCCCGGCCCCGACCTGGCGGAACAGGCGCCCACCCGAGAGCAGGGCCCTGCGGGACCTAGGACAGTTCCGCAGGGCCTGTGAAGCGGAGCTCTTCCGCCAGGCTTTCGGTCGAGGTGGCGGACGTTCAGCCATTCTGGCCTCCCCTGCTCATGGCCCCCTTCCCAGGGCCCTGCTGCTTTCGATAACGTTACTTGGGCACTGGAGCTTTTGATTCACCTGACATGAGGCAGGGGTCCTTTCTGTTATTGTTTATTTTGCCATCTGTTGTTTTATTGGTTCTATCGCTTTTATCGCTTTATGAATCTTGTGTTGTAATCTTGTGGTGATAACAATAACAACAACAACAATAATAATACCCTTTATCTACTGGGCAGCATGTACAGCCAGGTGGCAGGGCCCGTACATGGGCAAGGAGGGCACTGGCAGTGGGCCCTTCTGGAAATCTGGGCTTTGGCATCTGCCCCACTGTGGGGTAGGCTGATGCCAGTCCCATAGGTGGGTGTTCTCCACTTGTTCACAGGAGTGCTTTTGCACTTGAGTGATCAGCAGTGCCATCCTAAGACTTCAGTAGACCTAGAAGGGCTCGAATTCTGTTTAGGGTTGCAGTGCCAGTGCAGAAATGCTCAGCCTTTAGAGCAATAGAAGAACAAAAATAGAATCATAGAAATCGTAGAGCTGGAAGGGGACCTCCAGGGTCATCTAGTCCACCCCACTGCACAAGGCAGGAAATTCACAAATACCTCCCCCCCCCTGCACCCACCCAGTGACCCCTGTTCCACACCCAGAAGATTGCAAAAAAACCCTCCAGGATTGCTTCCTGACCCCAAAGTGGCAATCAGCATTTCCCTGGGTGTGTAAAAAGAGGGCCACAAGCACTGAGGCAACCCGTAACAGGAGAGGCCGTCCTGTAGCTATGCAGATCCAAGGCCATGAAGGGCTGAACAGATCCAAGGCCAAAGAACTGAACACTGTGACTAACAGGGATCCAATAGCGTGATCGCAGAATCAGTGTTAGATGCATACTCTGCTTAGCTCCCAATACTAACTGAGCTACAGCATTAGAAGAAGTAAGGGCAAAATGTGATCATCAAAATGTGCCGGTTGGCTGTGTTACTGGCTGCTTGACATCAATGCAGCAAGCTTGGCTAGCAGCTGCTTCCACCGCAGTCATAGAATCACAGAGTTGGAAGGGACCTCCAGGGTCATCTAGTCCAACCCCCTGCACAATGCAGGAAGTTCACAAATACCTCCCCCACTCCCTGTGACCCCTGTTCCACCCCCAGAAGTTGACAAAAAAAACCCCTCCAGGATCCTCGGCCAAACTGGCCTGGAGAAAAAATGGCTTCCTGACCCCAAAGTGACGATCGGCATTTCCCTGTAAGAAGGGGCCATGAGAATGCCCTGGGCGTGTAAGAAAGGTCCACAAGAAAGAAGCACCGAGGCAACCCTTCCTGCCCTCCCTTCTCGTGACCTGCCTGAGTCCACAGAATCAGCATTGATAAAAGGTCACAAAGTGGTACAGACATGTCATAATCCCTTGAAATAAACTGAATAAGAACCGTGCAGCAGCAGTTGGCCTTAGAGGGCCATAGAGGGGCATCCTCGTCTCTGACGTGGCTCGCTCCGTGGCAGGCTGGGAAGCTTGGTCTCCTCATCCAAGAACAAACCCTGGATGACCCTGCTCGGCTTCCAAGATGTGACAAGATCAGGGTCGCCTGGGCCATCCAGGTCAGGGACCCCCATCACAGTATAGATCTCTAACGGACAGCGGTCCCTCGGAATGGATCCTCAGCACAGCTTTACTCACTATGAATCCCTTTCCGTTCTTTACTTGCATGGGAAATGGACTGCAAGCAGAGTTATGCATTGTCATAGTTCACTTCGGGTACCTATTTATCTACTTGCAATTTCTTGCTTTCGAGCTGCTAGATTGGCAGGAGCTGGAACTAGAGAGGGGAGCTCACTCCATCATGCGGCACACTCGGGTCTCGAACTGCTGAACTACTGAACTTCCACAGCCTGCAGTTCAGCGTCTTAACCACTTGAGCCATCGCAGCTCCACCCCATCATAGTACAGATCTCTAATGGACAGCGGTCCCTCGGAATGGATTCTCAGCACAGCTTTACTCACTATGAATCCCTTTCTTTCCGTTCTTTACTTGTGTGGGAAATGGACTGCAAGCAGAGTTATGCATTGTCATAGTTCACTTTGAAAAGGATGCGGACAGAATGGAGCGGGTGCAGAGGAGAGCGACGAGGATGATCGGGGGCCTGGAGACCAAGCCCTGTGAGGAAAGGCTGAGGGACTTGGGGATGTTCAGTCTGGAGGAGAGGAGGTTGGGGGGGGGGACGACATGACGACTCTCTTGAAGTCTTTGAAGGGCTGTCCCTTAGAGGAGGGCAGGGAGCGGTTCCTGTTGGCAGCAGAGGGCAGGACTCGCAATCATGGGTTTAAATGAAGGGCGGGAAGGTACCATCTGGATATTAGGAAACAGTGCAACAGTGGAATCGGCTGCCTAAGGGGGTGGCGAGCCCCCCTCACCGGCAGCTTTTAAGCAGCAGCTGGACAAACACTTGTCAGGGATGCTCTAGGCTGACCCTGCATGGAGCAGGGGTTGGACCAGGTGGCCTATCTGGCCCCTTCCAACTCTGTGATTCTATGGTTCTATGATTCTAACACTGATGCTACAGGCCAACAACGTTTTGCACATGAGCTCTGAAAAGTGTATAGAGCTCCCTGGACACTTGCCAGTCAACAGAAGCCTCCTCTTAAGAGGAGTCACCCTGCGATTCGAACATAATCTCAGAATCCCACCCTCAGTGATCCAAAAAATGGGGCAGACGCTGGTGCCATCACAGGCCTTGCCACAGAGCGCGAGATCCGTGTGAGCGCAATAAGCACAACCAACGAGCTTGAGAGCCAAAATCCAGTTTTTACAGTTCAGTGCAGAAGTGACTTTATGTTCCAGCATTCTTCCTACTGACAAGTCTCTGCCCTGACGACAGCTAGCAGAGAAAATCGCTAAATTCCTTGGCATGTCTGTTAGAGGCCAGTATATTGTTAGTTTATGCATAAAGCAATCTGATAACACTGCAAAATAGGAATGAGTCCTGCTGGAATTTTCCCCTTTGCAGCCTAGTGGAGTGCTTGTTTTATGCCGTACCGGGTTCCCCTGGGAAACCTTGGGGACCAGGTGGTCCAGGAAGTATTGGCACATCACAGGAGACACAGCTTTCGCCTCTTTCACCTGCGTGACAAAGTACGGAGATGGTTAAGGGGATTCCGCTCAAGATCAGTTTTAAAAAACCCAAAACCCTTATGATTGCCACAGAAAGGAACAGCCCATCTTTCAAGGAGACCTGAAGATTTTGCACCAAAGCTCCAAGGAACTATTTTTTTTCTTAGAAAGGCATAAACTTTGTTTAAGATTCTGAGCAACACTTAGAAACAGATCTGCATGACAAAACGGTGTCACATAAGCAGGGAGTCTTCGAGAGCACTTTGTATGTGGTTTGGAGCCAAGATCTCCTAACCACTTGTACCTACAAGCCATTCCTCCGTCAGGAGTTGTCAGCAGCCAACTGTGTAAAGCCAGAAGAGGAATACCTGGGCACCAATGTTCCCTCTAAGTTGTGGAGTCTTGTGAGCAAAAATCCTACTTTGTGTGAGCTACTGGTACTAAAGTCGTGAGCGAGCGATTTAGCTACTGCATAAATTAGTTTGCTCTGGAGCCATCCCTTCCTGAGCTGAGACAAAAACGTGGGAGCCGGAGGCTAAAAAACTGTGAGCTAGCTCACGCTAACTCAGCTTGGAGGAAACGCTGCTGGGCACAACATGGGTATTCCTAGTGTAATCCAAAATGGTGGCTCCACATGGTATAGCCCAGCAGCCCCTGAAGAAAAGCAGCAGCTATACCCAGGGGTCATTTCCTGCAGGAGCGCACAAGAGCAGAGCTCCGGCAGTAACGAGCCCAGGGGGTGGGCACATGCCCCACCCCATCCTCCCAGCAGCCCTCAGTCAGAGCAAGAAGCAGCCAGGTAAGTTGCAGAGTCCCCTTCCCCCAACCCGCCTTCAGGTACAAGCTCTCCCTCCTCTGTGAGGGCAGATCTGTGTATTCTCCCCCCCCAAATAGCTAGCAATCCAAAACAGTCCAGTGGAGCCTGAAAGCTGGGTGTTGCCTTCTGACACACTTCCGGTGACGTCAGGGGGTGTGGCATATGCAAATAAGTTATGCTAATAAGTTATGCTGATGAGCTCCTGCACCTCTTTTTCTATGAAATGACCCCTGGCTACACCAGCTAGCAGATACTACTCCACGGGAAAGAGCTTGGCAGAGGCAGAAGCGGGCAAACAGGAGGGTGGTGATGGTGGACGTTCTGGTGTGCTGGCCACTGTGACTGGTGGTAGGTGACAAAACCCATCTTTGACCCATGTTCTTTTCTCCCACAGTTTACACACATGATTGGCTTGTTGGTAGCTGACCATGGCCTCAGTGGAATCATAGGACTCCCACTTCCAGGGGGTTATGGACAACAGGAGAGACCTGTGTGATGCCTTCCACTGTGCCAACAGCGCCACCTGCAGGGGCAAGGTGGAGGCTGAAGTTCTGCTTTGGACATGGTCCAGAGGAGGCACCATGTTTCCAGTGGAGGGGCTCATTGCTTCCTCCACAGGTTTTGGGCCCCCATGGTGTTGGCTTGGCTTGGCTTGGCCTCAGACCGCAGCAATTGCGACCATAGGCCAGGCCTCAGGCTGAATGGACTGTTGTAAGTCAGTCTATGCTGAGTGATGGCTCGGATTTCTCAGATGAAAAGCTACCTGCTAGTCCTGGGCCAGTAACTGAACAGCCATCTAAAGCTGGCTCTGAGCCAGAAGGAGAACAATGAGATATCAGGTTACCAGCTGATCAGGAGTCAGCTGAAACCAAGCCAAAGCCTTGTAGCTCTGAAGCAGTAAACAAGTCTTCAGCAGCCACTCCCAGCCCACCTAGCTCACCCACACCCTTGCAGTGCCGACGCTGTCAGAGACGCTTAGAGTTGCAAGAAAGGAGAAGAAGTGTGGGACTCATAGCCTGTCATCAGCTGTCAATTGAAGAGATGAATGAGTAGTTTCAGGTTGACTGCAAAGGAATTGGCTGGGAGTTTAGCTCGTTGGCTAAAAATTCAGGCGGGAGAAGCAGCAGTTTGTGGATGCACTTTGCTACTGAGCCACCAACCTTGCTACTACTGGACCTCTGCAACCTTGAACCTCGGAATGGACCTGACAACCGGCTTTTCTGGAACCCCTGGCTGGACTTGCACTTGCTACCTGGAACTCCTTGACCCTAGACCGGACTTTGGTAAACCTGCTCTCTGGAACCCCAGACTTTTGGACTGGACTTTGGTTACTCTCTGCAATCTTGCCTGTGACCTGCCCTGCTGGACCTCAGCCCGTGCCTTCTGGGGAAGCTACATCAGTACATGGACCCTGCCAGAACCACAGGGCCCCTTTGGTCCACCTCATTCCTAGCTGGCGATGGTTTGCCAGGGACTTTCCTGGTAAGTGAAAGGGCCACCTGACCCATGGATGTCCATATGACTCTTCTCGGCACTTTTCAAAAAAACAACCTTTGCTTCTTTTGCCTGAAACCCACTTTAAAGATAAATGAAAGGCAGCCTCATTATATATTTTCTGAGGATGGACAAGGACATCAAAATAAAAAACTCAAAACCGAGGTCAATGGTATTACCTTTCTCTCCCCTTTCTCCTGAGAAACCGTGTTGGCCAGGAGTGCCCGGAGGACCAGTGTCGCCAGGAGGGCCAGGCTGACATCCAAGAATTTCATCTGCAATTTGAAAACAAGAATGAAGAACACTGTTCCTAAATGTCAAACCCCGTCTTGAGATGTCTGTAGCTTAGAAGGACCGGAGTCATCAATACGGACAACCACAAACAAGTGTACGTAGCAAATCCTCTCTATCTGACTGGAGTCATGCACAGATGCAAGACGAAATCCCCTCTTGCCTAAGGCCAGGCCAAACAGCACTTCTATCCTGTATACAAGCCATCCAGATCAGGCTCAGATCTGCACTTGTAGGATATAACATGCGAAGTGGCAGATCACAGATGCTCCCAGTATTTACTTCCATGACTGCAGTGGCTAGAAACCTGCTGTTGCTACTGGAAAAAAAAACCAGACTTGCTGCTGGGTAGGAAGATGGAAAGGAGGAGCAGGAAAGGGGACATGGCTTGGTAGTAGAGCATCTGCTTTGCACGCAGAAGTTCCCAGGTTCAATCCCCAGTCTCTCCAGTTAAAAGCATCAGGCGGTAGGTGATGTGAATGACTTTTTTCTGCATGAGACTCTGGAAAGACACTGTCAGACCAGACCGAACCAGTCCCTTCCTTCAAACCCACCAGCTTGATTCTATCCAACAAGATCAGCTTGAGGAGCTCTGAATTCCATCAGGCCACCTAAAATTCTGTTCTTGGGGGGACAGTCAAAGAATTGTCAGGAACGGCATAGGAGGTGGAAGATGAAGTGTCCCATCTTCAGGACCGAGTGGCTGGATGCAAATCTCTTCTTCCACAAAGTCTGTGGTATACTCCTCAGGCCCGTAGCCGGGATTTTTTAATTTGGGGGCATTAACATTTTAAAGGGGGCAGTTAAATTACAGTTCATTAAATTAATCTGACGGTGTCATAGATGCAACGAACATGAAGTTGAGCAAACTTCAGAGGACGGCGGAAGACAGGAAGGCCTGGCGTGATCTGGTCCATGGGGTCGCGAAGAGTCGGACTCGACTGTGCGACTGAACAACAACAACAAAATTAATCTGAATGCCTGTCTTTAAAGGGGGAGTCTTCGAGCTTGTTTCTAGCCCTTCCTTTCAAGGGCAGCGAGCGTGTCAGTTCCTGGGAAGAAAAACACCTGGGGGGGCATTTAATTGCCTTCAATGCATCTCCAACAATCCCTCTTTCTGCTAGCCCAGTGCCACCTAGGTCATGGTCAAAAATGAGGTTTGTGGCAAGGCTGTTTGTGGGGCGGGGCTTTTAATTAAGGGGGCAGGGGCCCCAAATGCCCCACTGTAGTTACGGGCCTGATACTCCTTAATCTGCAACTCAAACTACACCTACACACGTGTAACTGAAATGGACATGGAGTCTTCCCCTTGCCCTCCTCCACATTTCAGGTAACCTGTAAAGTGAAATGCCTTTTGGCACGAGCTGAAACCAAACCAGTTATTGAAAATGAAGTGATACTTCTCCCCCCCCTTTGCCCCCACCCCCCAATTGTAAATGTGTATTTTATTGCAATTATTTGCCCAGGGTTTGTTTTTTTTGCATTTTGTATCGATGCCATCTACCGCATATGGCTTGCAAGGCAATCCTTGGCTGTCTGTCATACTTGTTCCTTACCTTTATTTCAAACTAATACTTCCCTATTTGCTCAGCCTTTTGCTTCTGGGGTGGTGTGGTGTAACGATCAGGACCTATACACCTCGAGGCTTCCTTTAAGTGATATCAACCTGTAAGTTCTCACAGGTCAGGGCAGCCTGTTCGGGCCAAGCATTAATTAAAGGCACCTGGTGGCCTTGACAGCTGGCGGAAGATGCTCTTATCTGCCTGCCAGAGAGCAAAGGGAACTAACTATGTGCTGATTAGCTAACAGGGGGCCCTAGGGCTAACAGAAAGGGAGAGACCGAACAGTTTTGGGGGGGCTGCCTGAGGGCACGGCGGGGTGTCGGAGAAGGCTCGGAATAAAGCTTGAGAGAGCTTCAACCCGAATAGAGATGTAAAATTTCTGGAAATTTTGAAGCTCGGAAAAAAACCCGTTTTTCCCCCAGTTTTTTCCGGGGGGGAAAGGAAATTTTTGGAAAAATTGAAAAAAAAAATGCTACATTAGCACTTCTTTTGTCTTTTCTAGATTGAAAGTCATTCTGTTACTTTAGGAACATAAAATATGACTATGGACATTTTTACTTGGCATGAAATTATCACAACTAGCATAGAGAGCTGGCAGAAGATGTTCTTAGCTGCCTGCCAGAGAGCAAAGGGAACTAACTAACTAGGCGCTGATTAGCTAACAGGGGGCCAAAGGGCTAGCAAAAAGGGAGAGACCAGACAGTTTGAGGAGGGCTGCCTGAGGGCACGGCGGGGTGTCGGAGAAGGCTCGGAATAAAGCTTGAGAGAGCTTCAACCCGAATGTCAAGGACTGCTTCTGCCTGAATGGACTCTGTGCCTTAAGCCTGTGGGGGAGATAAGGAACTTTTGGATTGCCTTACCGAGGGGAGCCCGTAAGCATTTGGCGCTTCAGAGCCCAGGGTGCTGCCCAGCATAAGTGAAGTATTACCATTGTGCTGTTAATCCTGTGGTTCCGAGTGGTTTCTGCCTAGCAAACACTCTTCATCATTTGAACAATTTAAATAAATGCAGAGAGGTTTTCTTTTATTTGCTGCATCAGGAGTGCTTGCGGAACATCTATGTACACCCTCAAAGGGGACCTAGAAGCGGAGGAACCTTAACGAGGGACCAGGACCCGATGAGACTCCGAGAGCTCAAGTGGCTGTGGGTCAGCGCCTGAGAATGGGAGCGGGGTTGTCCTTTGGTCCGGACAGGTGGCGCTTTTTTATATATAGGATTAGTGAAAAGTTCTTTGGAGACTGAATGCTCTTCCATCAAACAGCTCCAACTCAAGGGAGAGAATACCTCGCTTACCATTGTTCGGAAAGCAGTGAAGAGACGGAAGGCTATCCCACACAGCAGAGGCCATCCGCGTTTGTAACTTTGAGTTTAGGTTGAAAGCCCTGCAGTGGAGCAAAGCCCGGGGGTGGGGGCAAGACGACCACCTCCCCATTCCT